TCGATAGCTAAGAGTCAGATCTATCTACCTGTGCAAAACCGTTTTTTTCTGTTTAAAAATGACTTAGCTATGAGCAAAATACTGAAAAGATTTCTGACATTGACCGGAATTACCCCGAGGCACTCTATATCACCTTACCAAAGGCACAAAAAGATCAGTCAGTTTTGATAACACAAAAAAGTTATCTACTGATAATAAAACTTACAGCATATAGTTCTCCATTCCAGTTCCCTTGGGATCTTCAGAGGGTATCCAGAAAACTTTCTACCTTTAATTACTTTTTCCACAGAATCAGAGAAGTTCATAACATAGATCATACCTCTATTCGATCTGTTTTTAAAAATATTTTATGCAGGATTCTTGTCGAACTGTTCGTTATTTTATTTGATGACGATGCTGTACGTTGCATACGTATGACAGTAAAGAAAAGATTTGAACTTTGCCTAGCTTATTTGTTGGAAACACATACAATACTACACATATCTCACTCTCATTATTTGCCTTATGTGTTTCGTAACAATAGAATAGTATTAAAATGCCTGCCCCGTGAGATCGATTATATGAGACAAAAAAGCATTGACAGTTATTAAGACCAAATCATAATCAAACATTATTACATTAATCCGGATTTTTAAAAATATTGAATTTGACATTCGGCAACACTAATGCAGGGTGTAGACGGAGAGATATAATAACTAACAACACTCGAACAACTGTAAATAATAAACAACAACAAAACCGATGTGCAGTATCCAGACAAACTGATAAATCAAAAATACTTTAGTTGAGCACTCGTGCTATCTATGCTAAAAATCTACTGCTTATGTAGTAAAGATAAATGCATACATAGAGATACTGGAGAGTTTACTTCAATAGATCATTCAAGCGACATATATACTTTTATGATAGTACTAGCACAAAAATGACTACTTCAGCACATTTCTGAGAAACTGAGACCATCTAAAGCTAGCGAACTAACCGTTTGTATTGAAACTTGCGGACCGTAAACCTGATGTCCCATTGAGATTTATAGTGGCGGGTATGAAATCTCCATTTCCATCTTACGGGGCTAAAGATTAAGACTTATCTTCGAAGCGCATACTTTTCATTATACTCTACAGAATATATCGACGTTTCTTAGACATCTTAGAAACATTCGACAGAATGGGTCTTTATAGCATGATACCACAAAACGAATACATATCAGTTTTAAGTCGATTACTGCCAAACCGTTTTAAAATCAATAATATTTCTACAGACACTTTTACACAGCTCACTCGCTATGCTCTCCAAAAGTCATATTTCATATGTAAGGATACCTACTATTAGCAGACTAGTGGTGGAGCAATGGATAGCACAGTTATCACAATGTCTGCAGACGTATACATGTATAAGTGAGTAAAAAATTTTCAGCCATTCAAAATCAATTATATTTGTGCTTTCGAGATAACATTTTCCTCACTAACGACAAAATCATTTATTTATTTTTTGCGCATTAGACCCTAGTGAAACTTCTTGTACGCAAGATCTTGAGTTAAGAAATGTCACAAGATCTTTAAAAAAACATCAAGAAGTCAAGATCTTGCATTCGTGAATCTTTCACTCAAGATCTTGAAAAGTCTTGGCTTACTCCACTCAAGATCTTGAAAAGTCTTGGCTTACTCCACTCAAGATCTTGGGAACAGAAATTTTAAGATCTTGAGTGAAGTTACTTAAGGTGTTACAATAGCTTGAGTAAAAAATTTTACTTATATTTTTATTTTATTTATGACAGTCATCGTCATCGGATATACGACCATATAGAGTCATGGATTCTTCCTTAAACAGCTATAGTCAAGAAGGAAAAAAATTCGAAGTTATTCTAAGTGTGAAAATAGTCCCACTTATATTTACACAATACTGTAAAACAAAATGATGATTCAAGAATTTCCAGTTCAAAGTCTATAGTAAACGCCTATTTACTTTTGTGTGAAGGCAAATGAATAATTTCTTTATCTGGAAAAGTAAATTAAGAGTAAAGTAAACTGGCACCCCTAAGAACTGTGCTCTGGAACTACTTACGAACAAGGAGAAGCCATTACTTGTTTGCACTTTTAGGTTGTCTGTTTCTTCGTTCAATTCGTTCTCAGAATTCGACTACATATAATAATTTTACAATTGAATGGGACGATTTTAATTTATTAACATGTGCCACACCCACTTATTTAAATTTTTCATTTCTTACATGTATGAATCCAAATTATACACAAATCGATGATTCATCATGTTTAGCAACGACTACGATTAATTTTGATGATACGTCATGTACAATAACAACAACATCCCCAACAACAACACAGTTAGGTAAAATAAGACGTTTTTGTCTAACGTTTTTCAACCATCACTCTTAATAGTAATGTGAAACACGGCGTACAGCGCGATTTTCGATGTTAATTCTAATAAAAAATCAGCAACATATGCACGGACAGAGTAGGAAAGAGCGTTGATGGATGCGTTATATCATCCACGTAAACGACACTCACATACATCAGCTTTCCAACATAAATCTATCACATCTAACTATAGGTAACGGTCACTCAGTTTGTCTGATAATTTTAATAAAAATGAAATTTAAATCGAAGAAGATATCCGAAAACTCCTGTTTGCGAGCAACGTCACATAAAAGAGCAATTAAACGTATCTTAATTTCTGGATTACAAATATAGTGAATAATACTTTGATAATGCTCGCATAACTAACACCCTTAGTGCTAAAGCATATGAAAATATCCATAGGAGCAACAAAATCAGTATCTATATTTTCTTCTTAAACCAAATGCTTCTTTTTTATTATAGTTACTACCTCTCTGCTTCCAACTAGCACTTATCTTCGCACATCAGTAGGTCAAACAACGACAACTATTAGTCAGCAGACCACAGTGCGATTGCTTACTACAACAGGTCAGCAAACTTCAGTCGGTATGATCACTAGTACTATCCAAAATGTAAACATTAGCACAACACATCTCTCTAACACCACTCAACTTGCTAATACCACATTCCTAGCTAGCACTACTCTTCTTCTTAACACTACCCTTCCTGCTATCACAACATATTCTGCTACAACTACTGTAAATCCCGCGAATACCACAACATATTCTGCTACAACTACTGTAAATCCCGCAGATACCACAACATATTCTGCTACAACTACTGTAAATTCCGCAAATACCACAGCATATCCTGCTACAACTACTGTAAATCCCGCAAATACCACAACATATTCTGCTACAACTACTGTAAATTCCGTGAATACCACAACATATTCTGCTACAACTACTGTAAATCCCGCGAATACCACAACATATCCTGCTAATACCACTCAAAATATAGCAGCTACTAATACAACTGTGCATTTAGTTGCGGATACTACCGGTCAAAATTTAATCATTACAGATACTACAACTGTAGTTGTTTCCACAATTCAAACTCTTGCTACAACACAGGTAGTAAACAGTCATTCCCAATCTGATAGTATTTATACAACGGTTTTGTCAACAATCTCAACGACCACAACTCAAAATTTCCAAGGTACATGTGATGGTGATTTCATTGGTCCTTACTGCAATGTATCATCGGATGCATGTGCAATGAGTCAACCATGCCAAAATGCAGCAACATGCTACCCGAATAATACACTACCGTTGCGTTATGTATGCACCTGTGTGAATGGATATGTGGGCTACGATTGTCAGTATGATATACGAGCGTGTAAAGAAAATACTTGCTGGTAACTGGTTTACATCTAGACACGAATCAGTGTTATTTATTTTTCTTTCTTTCTTTCTAACCTGCTAGGCATAATGGGACGTGTTTGGAAGTGAATAAGACTATTTCTGTTAATTCCACAAATAATTTTCATTGTGAATGTGTTGAAGGTTACGATGGTGTTCATTGTGAATTAGAAGTTGATGATTGCTCAAATGTCACCTGTCAAAATCATGGTTTTTGTGTATCTACATTGAATTCATGGCATTGTATATGTTTAGATACAAATTATTACAACGGTGTCTACTGTCAATATAAATCGCAGAGTTTAATCATTAAAGAATGGGTAGCAAAATCATTTGCTATTGTGGCTATTGGATCCATCATTGCTGTCTGTCTATTTGTGATCATTATGGATGTAATGAAATATGTTTTTAAAATTGATCCAGTGTACGAAAATGAAAAGCTTAGAAAAGCAAGATATAGACGAGATCATCCACGAAAACCAAAACCAGTCCAAGTTGATAATAAAACATTGGCATTAAGATTTCAATATGTTAAATAAAGAATTTTAGTAACCATTATACGACTCTCTTAAATGTTGTATATTATTTTGCTTGTTTCATTTTCCGATTTTTTCTTTTTTATGATGTAAAAAGAAATCTAAAAATAATAAATTTTAATTTTGACAACTCTATAACTTGTGCTTGACAAAAATCTTCTTAGAAACCAAGTTATGCTTACTCAAAAACAGAAAACTACACCCTGAAAACGTTCTTACGTATTTGTGATAAAATTGTTAAAAAAAGTGTGTTTTTTTCGTAATGAATCAGTACAGAAAACGCAGTGTATGAGGTTAAAAGGCGAGTTTCAGATGGAAAATAGATGAGTTTTGGACTCCAAATAACTATCTAAAAATGATAAATCATTTTTCTCGTTGGAAAAAACCAGGATGATTATTCTTCTCTGTACTGGCACTTACCTCGTTTGGCCATTTGCTTGGTCAATGTATACCGTATTCATCATCCTGATTTTCTTCAGTTTATCAATTAGATTTTCTTTAGTTTATCGATAACAATAATTCTCTGTTTAAGATTATGTTAGAATAAAAACTTAAACAATGCAAAATAATGGGAATGAAAAGGTAATTAATTGTTGTTAGTTGAACTCATTAGTAAATTCTCAATTGTGCGTTTCGTTACATTATAAGCGTCCTCCATGTGCGGCAAATGGGGGAACGCTTATTTTAACGAAATAATGTCGTCGCAATCTAAAATACCCGATGGACTCAACTATACATTTTTATAAAAATGAAATATATTGTGGATCTTTTAACCATTTATCGCTAAAATTACACTGCCGTTTTGAGGATGGAACGAAGCTGCTAAGTTTTGTTTTTGTTGTCGTCAATAATTTTTTTGGTTGTTGTTTGTTTCTCACTTGCACAGTCTACATTCTCACGAGCAGTCGTTTCTTCTTCTGGTTCTAATTTAGAGTTCATTCTTTCAAAGCTAATTTTTCGAATTTCAAACAAAAGATTTTCTCCTTAAAATTAGGTTTTATCCACAAATTTATATCACACATCTAATAAACTCTGACGAAGGAACTATCCCAAGTGTTAATCACAGATGCTAACGAGAGGTACTCCAATCGATAGAGCTCGACGAGCTGATTCTAGTGACATAAAGCATTTTTCCCAATATTTCTTGAAGACCCAGTTTTCTAGAAAACCAGTTTTTCAGAAACTTTAAAAAATAACCAAACATTTTTAAATAAGATATAATTGTAGCGCGCACATTTCTGAATGAGACATTCTCCAGCTCTACATGACGTTTATTTGCAAAGTTATAGAATTTACAAGAAAAGCCCTAAATGTTCATTGTCGGCTCAAAGCTACAGAAATAAGAAGAAATTAATTCAGGGCTTTTCTTGTAAATTCTATA